TTCTTTAGTTTTATACTTGAATTCCTTTCTCTTTAATTTTTGCATATCTATTACTGGTTTTTGATTTGTGATTATCATTCGGTTTGTATATAACATTTTCTGCATCTGGCAGTCTATATTAAGTTGATGGTCGCTTAAGTTTGAACCTCTTCTTTATTCCACTTGCCCTTATATTTAGGTATATGGTGTCATACTTTACATCCTTTTATTTTGTGAGTACTTTGACTGATTTTTGCAGATACACTTTTTTTTTTTCACTGCTTTTGTGTTTCCTACTTTCCTTACTCTTACTTGTGGTCTTTGCTTTTTACTCAAAAAGTCTCCTATCTTAATATTTCTTCTAGGGCTGGTTTAGTGCTCGTGAATTTCTTTAGCTTCTGTTTGTCTGGGAAGCTCTTTATCTCTCCTATTCTGATTGATAGCCTTGCTGGATAGAGTATTCTTGGTTGCAGATTTTTTTCCTTTCAGCATTTGGAATATATCATGCCATTCCTTTCAGGCCAGCGAAGTTTCTGCTGAAAAAATCAGCTGATAGCCTTATGGGACTTCCCTTGTATGCGTTTTCTTTTCTCTTGGTGCTTTTAAAATTCTATCACTACTTTTTGCCATTTTAATTACTATGTGTCTTGGTGGGAACCTCCTCGGGTTGATTTTGTTGGAGGCTCTCTGTGCCTCCTGAATCTGGATTTCTGTTTCCTTCTCCAGATTTGGGAATTTTGCAGCTATTATTTCTTCAAATAAATTTTCTGCCCCCCCTTACTTTCTCTTCTTCTGAATCCCTATAATGCAAATGTTATTACCCTTGATGGTGTCGCTGAGTTCCTTAAGTCTATTCTCATTTTGTATAATTTTTTCCCCTCTTACTTGCTTAGCTTGATTGCTTTCCTTTCCTCTGTCCTCTAGGTCACTGATTTGTTCCGTTTCCTCTAGTCTGCTATTTATTCCATCTGGTGTACTTTTAATTTCATTTATTGTGTTCTTCATCTCTGTTTGGTTCTTTTTTTATCATCACTAAGTGTCTCACTGTTGTCCCTCACTCTTCCCTCCAGTCCAGTGAGTATCTTTATGATCATTTCTTTAAATTCTTTATCGGACATATTACTTATCTCCATTTAGCTTAGATCTCTTGCTGTGATTTTGTCCTGTTCTTTCATTTGGGACATATTCTTCTGTCTCCTCATTTTGTCTGTCTTGGCATCTGTTTCTCTGTGTTAGGAAAGTCAGATATGTCTCCTGCACTGGAGAGTAATGGCCTTATGAAGAGGTCCTGTAGTGCCCTGCAGTGCAGTGTCCCCTGTTCACCAGGACCTGGTGCTCCAGGGGTGTCTTCTAAGTGTGCTGTGTGCATCCAGCTTTTGTGACTGAGCTGATTTCTCCTTCAGTCCGGTCATCTGCAGCGACTTTCTTTGCCTGTTGTGGGCAGGGTTTGGTCCGTGTGGTGTTAGTGGGCCAGTCTGAGGACGCCTGGGGCTTGAGTTGAGTCAGACCAGGCATTTGCCAGAGATGTGGTAGCACCCATCTGCAGGGTGCTTTCCCCGTGCTGTCCACTGAGAGGCTTTTGTTGGTGGGCAGGGCCTGCAGTCAGACAGATGTCTTCCCCCAGCCCACTGCTGGGGCTGTAGTCTCACGGGTGTGTGTGGTTATCTTTCCCTTTCCCCGGGACAGGAGTCACTTTGGAGTGGTGGTCAGGAGGGAGTCCACCACCTGTCCTGTTGGGTCTGCTTGTACTCTGACAGGCCTGTGGCACTGCCCTGAATGGGCCCCAGCCAAAAGGGGCCCTGCATCGTTGGGGCTGAGGCAGGTGTGTCTGCAGGGGGTGGATCAGCGGGGGAGTTGCTTTAGCAAGTTAGGTAGCTACTGCAAGTGCCTCTCTGGTTCCTGCAGGTGGTGGTGTCTTTATGCTGGGGGGCATGGGAGGGAAGTGGCACCTGCCAGCTCCTTCGTGCCTGGAGGGTCTCCCAGTGATCTCTGTCCCTCCAGGACGTGCTCTGAGACGAGTAGATAACTCTTTCTCCTGCATGTTCCAGGCGTTTTTCAAACTGCTGCGTCTCTGCTGCGCCTCTACAGGGCTGTTGTGCAGTCTCTTTAAGCACAGGGCCTCAGTTTCCTCTCTCCGGCTCTGTTCTCCTAGTGCCAAGTTTGCTGATTTTAAAGTTTCAGATTTTAAGTCCTGCTCATTGTGAGAACTCATGAAATTCAGTCCCTCTGGTTTTCGAAGCCAAATGTTATGGGGATTTGTCTTCCCTGTGTGGGCTCCCTGGTCCAGGGGTCTGTTTCTGTCCTCTCTCTGTGCCCTGGACTCCCTCATGACCATGGACCAACCTGTGGGTCCGTTTAGCTCCTGACCGTGTCTTTGCCCTTTCTACCCTCTTCCATGTGGCTTCTTCTTTACATTTAGCTGTGGTGTTTGTTTCTGCCAGTCTTCGGGTGGTTTCTGGGTTATTTACATTGAAGTGAGTGTTAGCTAGATGTATCCATGGGACAGGGTGGGCTTAGAGTCTTCCTACTCCACCACCTTTCCTAGAAGTCCCAAGCAGCTTTGTAAAATTAAGTTTTTATTTTACACACACACAAAAATGGAAAATTGCTGGAGATTTTAAGGTTTGAAAGGGCAGAATTGTTTACAAAACAGTCTGTATGCGTTGACACAGCCTAAGTAAAGCCCCTCATAGACACTCTCCAACTCAAAGATTGCTTGAATATGTCCCCACATCGGGCAACTGCCTCAGACATTCTTTGTTTTGGGGATTTGTTATTTAAATGTTGAAAAACAGACAAGGATAATATTCCACAAAGTATAGACACTGGAAAAGGTAAAAGTGAACCAAACTATTGAAAACCAAAGAGTTGTGATCTAGGAATTGTAAAACGTAAGAACGTACGAGGCATGATTATAGTCAGCGTGCCTCGGGAAAATGCTAATATGACCGTGGCTTGTGTTCACTACGAGGCTCTTCCCTTCTCATGATAACTATATGATAGGAAAGCACCAGCATCACCAGAATGGTACCCACCAGACAACAATTAAGTTTTCATCGTGCCAATGGTAGAAACAAATGAAGAATACCAATGAGGTAATCCCAGAGATAGGCAAAGAGAGAAAGACAATGGCAAGACCACCGTGAGCATGCAAGAAATGCCAAGAGCACAGCCAGGCGAGCAGGGAGTAGGAAAACATCAAAACTCTCAGATCCCAGGAGGCACAAGTGGAATGTTGAAGCCACAGGCATATAAAACATGTAATACCCCAAATCTATGCAGATAAACCAGCTCATCTTCTCTCTGTGGCCAGGCTGTGCATAAGGGGTTCTCATGACTATTTTTGACCCCATCACTGTTGCATTTACCATAGCCAACAAACACCTATTAAAAGATAATAAAGTTACTCCTTTTCAAAATTTTTATTTTTTGCAATCCTATCTAGTTTTGGCTTCTGTTAATTCAAGTACAGAAATCAATGTGGGTCACTGATTTTTTTATTGAGTAACCATTACACTTCAATTCCATTCTTTCACTGCCCAACTAACTGCTCCACTTTTAAACAATGGCCAGCCATTAATCATTACGCAAAACAGAAGCTATTTATGCAACGAATTCTAGAGCAAGCTCATTTCGTCTTGGCAAAATAGTGTTAGACACCAGCATTTGTGAGATTTCCAACGAACCTTGGCATATTAAGAAATTCTTAAATTGAAAATTGCTGTAGGAGGTCAGGAATCAAAACTTTGCCTATATGGAGCTCAGCTGGCCCCAGAGTTAAACATGGAACACTATTCAAATTCTAAGCAATTATGAAAAATTATCTTTTATTTTATAATCTAAGTGATAGCTATCATTTATTTTCATATATCTTCCTCTTTAAATCTTATAACTGACCGTATTGCTCAGTAACTTCCTCAGCTCTAGTGACCCACGTGCAAAGCTAGGCTGATCTGTGAGAGGCATCAGGATTCGTCCCAGGCAACGTCAAGGACCTCAGACACAATTGCTTCGAGTTTCTGTAATTGAGGAAGTCAGTTTCTACAGAGGCAGCACTGAATGAAAACATTACAAGTTTTCCATCAACTGCAGAAACAATTAAATGTATAGGTTATTCCAGAGTGAACAAATTCATGTTCTTGAAATTTCTGGCATCTATTTATTTATTTAAAAAACACCACCACCTCAGAGATTTTGGAGATAACAGATGCCAGACTCGATATTCTAACTGGCCAGACGTGATTGAGAACCTGCATGGCCTGAGCTCCCTGCGGAGCCACCCAACGTTAAAGCCTGGGTTATTTTTTGTCTAAATCCACAGCCATAGAAGGCTTATTGTGATTTGTGTCTCCAGTACCCACATGTTGGGATGAGTTGTTGGGGTACCATGCCCTAGAGAGAGGGTTCCTCTCCCGAGTTAAGCAGACAGGTGCTGCTGTGGCACCCCCACCCCACCCCAGGAACCATGCATTCGAAACTACTAAACACTTCCAGAACCCCTTGAATCCTGACAACTTGCTCCAGAACTCAGGCACGAGCGCTGGTCATGAGAAACCAGTAAATTCAAGGTTGTAGTTCACCTTAGAATTCTATCACGCTTGACTATTTGCAGGTCTTGGGGGGAACTTTAATAATTCCAATCGGGAAGAGAATGCAGCCGGGAACCTCTACTGATACTCAGATTTCTTAAATCTAAGTAGGTCATGAAATTTAACTAAAAAGACAAGAAAATGAAAGGAAGAAGCTCTAATTAAGTAGAAGCAGGGTAAGATTAAACCCCAGACTACTTTGTTTCCTCACTTTTCCACTGTTACCAAAACTCATTAGTCAGCATCTAACCCAAGATGAGCACCCTGTGACTTCTCGGCCATGACTCTTGTGTATGCCACTGAGCTCAAGCCACACCACTCAGCAGAGCATGAGGACCCCACTTCCCAGGCTGTGTTCAGAAAAGACACACCAGAGCGTGGAGGGCAGGCCCCCACGTTCCTGGAGACGGAGGCTGCAAAGAGGGATCATACCTGTTCCGGTGGCCCACGTGCCTGGGCCAAGCTGTGCCAGGAGGAGCCTCCGTGTGCAGCCTCACCAACCTTAACTCCAAAAGAGTCTTTCCAAAGAGGACCACAAGGGGCATCACCAGAGCCGCCAACCAAAGACTGTCCATTCATCCTTCCTTTCTCTCCATACTTGACAGAGGGCAAAAAGACGCGAATCAGAAGGATGAGCACGTGAAATGCAGGGTGGTGGGAGGCAGGAGGTGCCCGGTGGGTTTCTGGGGAGCAGAGCTGTGGCCCCAGATGGAGACTGCCAGCAGAGAAGGCACATTTCTCCATCAACAAGAAGAGACAATGAGCTGACTACAGACATGGAATGTTCATTGTACTTTGTTTAAAATAAAAGGAAAAAATGATGTCAAACCACCCTGCACAGAGACCACTGCACAGACTTTGTTCTGCTGTGTTTCTCTGCTAGCGGGAGGTGGGTAGATCTGAAGCCTGTCTAGAGGGAGGGGTGGGCTTCAGGCTGGGACATGCTTCAAGCAAACTGTTAGGGCTCCATCTTGGGGACCAACGCCAATGTAACAATTTCCCTCAGCCTTGTTCTTTACAAACAGAAGAAGGCATGGGCGTGGGCTCTATTTTCTGTAGTAAGATATGAGCCGTACTTTTAATGCACAGCAAGAGCCCCGTCTCAGAGACTGCTAAGTGGCATTTTTTTTCTTGTATCAAAATAAGAATTGTTAAATACTGGATATCATCTTGTTAATAACAAACAATCCTTAGTTGAATTCAACAAGCGTGGCAACTCTTCCTAAGTTTTATTTATTTATTTATTTTTAAAAGTTTATTTTATTTATTTTGAGAGAGAGAGCAGGGGAGGGTCAGAGAAAGGGACAGAGAGAGAACCCTAAGCAGGCTCTGCACTGTTAGTGCAGAGCCTGATGCGGGGCTCAAACTCACGAACTATGAGATCATGACCTGGTCTGAAGTTGGACACTTAACCGACTGAGCCACCCAGGTGCCCCTCTAAGTTTTATTTTAAAAAAGAAAAACTTCCATTCCATTCAGGGATATCATTCTTCCTTCAGAAGTTCCAGAAAAGTTGCCTGTGTGTGGTAGTTTTTTTCACCTTTATTTTAATTTTTACTTTCCTCTACCAGCTTGCTTTGAAAAAGCCACAATTGTGAAAAATGTTACTGACATGTCTTAGAAAAAATTGTGTGTGTAGGGGTTTATCCGTGGTTAAACTATCCGGTTAGTTACGTACCAAACAGAAGTGTCTGTGGGTTGCATTATGCATTTTTTTGTTTGATAAAGGACGACATTATGAAAAACCAATGGCAGGGCTCTCATCTTACCTGTGGTTTAAAAAAAAGGAGAGAAGAAAATGGAAGAGACAAGCAGGGACTGTCACATTCCCTCAGTGTCGGTGTTTACCCCTCTGGCCCCTGTATGGCTCCTGCCTGTCCCCTGCCACCCAAATCACACACATCTAAGAGGACAATATCCTTGAGCTCAACATCAGTATTTTCTTAGAGCCACGAGAGAAAAATGTGAGAGCTGGGTGAGGTCGTAAGGAGCACGTAGTTCGAGCCTTCGTTTTATAGAAGAGAAAACTGAGGTTCAGCGTGGGGACCATCAGAGTTTACTCGGCAGAGTCAGCCTCGCACAATACGGAAGCTGCGGTGGTTTTTTGTCTTCCTGGAGCCAGGCACAGTAATGCCACCCGAGAGTCTATTCAAGTCAGCAAATAGTGAAGGAGCCCCTCTTCAAAGAGGAGGTCTGCAGAGTGCTCAGGGATGCAGCACACACAGGCTGCGTTCATGACCACCTTGAAATAACCCTGGGGTGGGGGTGGGGGCCAACAACAACCAAGGGCCCAGTCACCCCCATTCTCACCCCACGCCCTTGCTGGAAACAGTGACTCTCCTGACAAACAGGCATGACCCTGTACCTCAAAGAGAGCCTCGTTCTTTTCTATCACTGACACATCCTCACAACATCTGAGGAATATTCTGGAAGCTGCACCTGTTGAGCTTTCCAGCGGGAGTCAGAAAGCGCTTGTCATAACCCAAATCACCAGTGAAATGAAGCAGTACTTATTCCAATACAAGACAATATCAGGATTTCAATTCAACCAACACTCCTTATTTTAGTCTATGAAATAAAACTCATTCTGTTGCCAGGGTATATTAGAAATCTGTGCAATTGGAGAGACCCGGAAAGTCTTTAATTTTCTATGGCTCAAGTATCACTTAAAAAAAAAACAATGCAAAGTTTTGGGTACAGACATAGAAGAAAACATTTAAACATTCATGCTCTATCACAAAGAGAACGAAAGCATTGACATTTATTTGGTACTTACAATAATCCTGATTTTAGGTAGCTTTTGGTCTGAAGTGGTAGGAGGTGCTCGGTGTTCTTTAAAGCTGTTATCAGAAACAAAGAAAATGCTGTCAGGTGTTCTTGTCTCCTGAGGAAAACACTTCTGTCCTCAGAAGGCACCACTCCTAGAAGCCTTGAGGTCTGAATACCACACCAGAAAATGCAGCAGCAAAGAAGCTGTGAGATCTATGGTTGCAGTGTGGCCGCTGGGCTCTCCGATGGGCCAGCACACTCCCGTCAGCATGACGGCACAGGCAGAGAGGTGCACAGAGCCAGAGTTGGGAAGGGCCGTTCCTAGCACCCCGCTTTTTTTTTTTTGAGTCAAAATGATAGGTTTCCAACTTTACTCAGTTATTTCAAGAACACGCTCGAAACTCCTATAGAGCATTGATGGACCCAGAGTCATTAGGCAGGTGCAGTGGACTGCTTGCCCAAACCCCGCTTGCACATGGAACTCAGGTGCTCCTTCTACCCTGCTTTGGAAACCATGAGCAAAGACATTGCTTCCAGGCTTCCAGGAAGAAGCCCGCGGCCTTGGTGAATTGCTTTCTAGACTGCCAGGACTCGGACTTGGCTGCTTCTACTCAGTTGCAACCATCTGAGATGTATTTCTTCATTAAAGAGAAGAAAAGGGCGAAAAGCAACCATTAGGAGTAAGAAGACGAACCGGCAGCAAGGAGCAGTTGGAAATGAATAGAAACGAGGAGGAGGAGGGTACTCACACTCCACGGGCTTCCTGGTGGCAGAAGGCACTGGCTGATAGAGCCCTGCTGGGCTCGACTGAGAGGGAGGTGCTCAGGAGGAGATAGCACTGGGAGGAGGCACCTAACAGTTTTATACTCAAACTGGCTCTGCACCCCCCCACCCCCCGCCCGCCCCCGCCCCTGCACTTGGCTTTCTCCTCCCACTTGGAGCCCCAGGGCCAAAGCATTGCGGAGGACCAGTCCCCTGTCCTGTACCTGATGTCTCTCTCTCTCCCTCCTCCTCCCTCCCTCTCTCTCTTCCTCTCTCTCACTGTCTCTCTGCTGATGTTTCTCTCTCTTCCCTTCCCTCCCTCGCTCCCTCCCTCCCTTCCTCCCTGTCCCTCTCTGTCTCTCTCTGCTGATGTTTCTCTCTGTGTGTGTCTCTCCTCTGTCTCTTGTTTCTCTCTCTCTGTGTCTCTCTCTCTTCCTCTCTCTGCTGATGTTTCTCTCTCTCTCTCTCTCTCTCTCTCTCTCTGTCTGTCTCCCCCTCTGGCCTTGATTTGGTGCCATCTCTGTGTGGTGCTCCAAGATCCATGCCCAGGGATAATCCTGCAACTTTGTCTTTTCCCTCTTGCTTTAGCTCCTGCCCTCACCCTGAAATATTTCGGGGAATGTTTGTAACTAAAAAAGATCAACATAGTGTCCCTGAAAACTAGAAACTGAGGGTCAGGTTGCTATACTGTAGGCTCCTGTGCTACGTGACTGCTCCCGGTGGAATTTTCTCTTAGACACCACGCAGCTTCTGCACAGGTGTAGGAATCCAGCAAAGTCCCGAGGGGTGTGGTGTGAGGGTGGGGAGGGCAAGGGGCATGCAATTCATTTTCTGGAAACCGACCTGCTCTTTTCCCCAGTTAGAAGGAACCAAAAATAAAAGTTCCCTGGAATGTTCTTTTTTCCAGGTGTGGATCCCAGGACAAACTCTGCTGCCTTTTAATAGGATGCAAACATTCCATAGCAGAGGAATCTAAAATTCAAGTGAAAAATCCATTTCTTCCCCCATCCTTCTTAAACTTCAGGTTTTGGGGCTTTCTCTGTTATGGCAGGAATCTAACTAACTCAGGTGCACTTCATGGAGCACGGAATTAAAAACAAAAACAAAAACAAAAAACCAGACAGCCCCCAGAAAGCCCTGCAGATGTCATGATGTTTCTGGCTTCTGGGCCTCTGGCCTCCTGTTGGAGCTGAAGGGCTTGTCAGAGGTCCTCGAGGCAGCTGCGACTCTCTGGCTCCTCCCACTGGACACCCACGAAACCACAGGTCTCCCTTTGTGGGCAGCCCCCACTCCTACCTGCTGCAGCTCAGGGTGTGTGTGTGTGTGTGTGTGTGTGTGCGCCTGTGTGTGTGTGTGCTAATGCCTGTGTGTGTGTGTGTGTGTGTGTGTGTGTGTGTCTGAGGTCTAGGAGGAGACCAGAGGTCCAGGTTCATGATTCCAGTTCTGAGCTTCAGGGAAATCTGCCTCCAACATTTTGTCGTAGGAAAATAAGGAGAAAATAAGCTCCTGGGTTACACTGAAAGGGAAAAATGAATGTCAAGAGGACAGTCAGAGGGCCTGGAATGGGAATGAAAGGCATCACACTAGTTTCTAGAAGTTCCTCGTGCAAATGGAACATAAATCCTTCCCTCACAGTAATAATAACGATCGCGGTAAGAGGTAAGAGTGGTGGGAGTGGTTGAGAATCACTCTGTGTGCTGGGCACTGTGCTAATCACTTCATTCTAATTCCCATCAGCCATTTAAACATTGTAAGAGTCTGGGGCGCCTGGGTGGCTCAGCTGGTTGAGCATCAGACTTCGGCTCAGGTCTTACATCTCATGGTTCATGAGTTTGAGCCCCACATCAGGCTTGTTGGGCTTGCTGCTGTCAGCACAGACCCTGCTTCGAAGATTCTCGTTAACCCTCTCTTTTTGCCCTTCTCCCGCACGTGCTCTCTCTCTCTTTCTCTCAAAAATAAACATTAGGGGCACTTGGGTGGCTCAGTTGGTTGGTTAAGCATCTGACGCGTCCAACTTCAGCTCGGGCCATGATCTCGCAGTATGTGAGTTTGAGCCCCACATTGGGCTCTGTGGACAGCTCAGAGCCTGGAGCCTGCTTCGGATTCTGTTTCCCTCTTTCTCTGCCCCTTCCCTACTTGTACGCACTCTCTCTCTCAAAAATAAACATTTTAAAAAATTGCAAAAAACCCCATGAGTTAAATGCTATTATCCCCATTTTGCAGATGAGAAAACAGAGGCTCACAGGGTTTAAATAACTCATCCGAAGTCTAACACCAAAGTTTGTACTTTGATGTACTTCAGCACCATCCAATATTTCCAACTGCTGCCCATGCTTTGCTTTTCACTAATTCACTGATTAACTTCGTGAACGTGGCCTTCAACACATCGATCCTAATCCTGAAGCCGCCTCCACACGGCACCCATGCAGTCTTCTGCCTCAGTGGCCTTGGTCAGAATTGAGTCCCAAACCTTCTTGGCAGGACCACCTTCCTCATCCCTCCCCATCCTCTTCCCCACTTCCTGTAAAGTCACACCTAAAGTACCGCTTGCAAAATGCAGCCTTGCTATGTGGTATGTACAAGAGGCAGCGTGCCCATGTGGGCTTCTGGGTCAGGCGGACCTGTGTTCGAATCCTCGCTTTGTCAGTTCCTAGATGTTCTACCTTAGATACGTGCGCACCCCTTTATGAAAGTGAGATTCCTCACTAAAAAGGTCGTGACGAGTTTTGGCAAGGATAATTGGTAAAGCTCTGCGCCTGACCCGTGGAGGTGCTGCCATTCCGACGCCTCCCTGTCTCCGTAGAGGTTGGGTTGTCCTTGAGCTTTCCCGAAAGGTCCCTCCTCCCAGCTTGGACACGGGGAAAATCTTCCCGGCTGTGACACCAGAAGGGGCAGAGTTATGAGCATGGAGACCACTGTTCAGCAACAACTCGGGGGTAGGTGGCTGGCTGATGAGGCTCCCCAAGTTTTTGTCCTGCAAGATCCCCAGGCGCAAGTGTCTACTGTCACCCAGGAGCTTTGCAGAGAACCCCCTGAGCAGGAGAGCAGAGGGATGATTGGGCACCCAATGGGTGCAAACCTGGGTTCTTAGGTGCTTTTCAATGCTCGTTGCAGAATTTGATGCCTTTTTCTCAGTTCTTTCTCCAGCATCTCCTGCTATCACTTACGGCATATCTTTGTCTGAGTGTTTAAGCCCAGACATTGCTTTTCTTTTCTCACCTGCCCTGAGTCCCCCCGCCAGTTCCCCCGTGTGTGCGCCCCTCTCCTCCACCGGCTCTCTGAACCCATCTGCCAGCCCTCGGTCTGGCTCTATCACAACCGAATGTATGCAGAGTTTTCCCTCCTCTGAATGTCTCCATAGAATTTCTGCCCCTAGAAAGTTCTCTCTCTCTTCTCCCCACCTGCTCTGCCCCAACCTTCACACCCCACTTTCTTTCTTCCTCTATTTGGATTTTGTAGCAGACTCCTGTCCATGCCACACTCCTGGGAACCAAAAGCAATTTATGTCCCTATTCCTCACTAGACAGGCGACCATACCCCCTGGCCCCGCAACAGCTCTGGCATTGTCCTTTATTGTGTAAAAAATGTATCTTATGCTGCACCATCCCACCTGGACTGGAAGATACTAGGCAACAAGGTTGGGATCTAAGAGTCGTCTTTGTTCCCAACAGATCTCTCTCCAGAAAGGTTTTGAGAAAGTTCATAAAATATATGTGAGAAGAGGAAGGAACTAGATGAAAAAAGTGGTGTAGAAGGAGAACTAAGTTACGGATAATGACATGGTTTCAGTGTTTCCTACATCTTGCATTTGTAGGTGTTTCTAAATACGTGTTGTTTGACCCAGAAATTATCCCAACACCACCTGGTCTGGACTGCTGTTTGCTCTGGGTTTACCTATAGACACTTAAACTTTACAAATGACTTCAGCACAGCACAGCTGGAGTGCCCGCGCTCGGGAAGTGTGGCCGGCTGTGAGTGTCTTTTGCATCCTGAGCAGCAGGTTCTAAATGGCAGAGGGAGCATGGGAGAAACTTATTCTCAAGTCATTTCTTATCCCCCCGTCCCCCCCCCCCCAGAGAAGCAGGACCAGCAAATCCAGGACACAATGTTCCTCTGCAGTGTGTTCCGAGCCCACAATGTTGTCATCTGGTAAACAGTCAGACAAAAAGCACCAGATGAGAGCCCAAACTCACACTGACCCTGAGCGTCATTTGGGGGGCACCCTTTGTGACAGGCGTTCCCTAGATGTAGAGCCAAGAGGCAAGCTGGCGCATAGTGTCGTGTCTCTCTCACTGCCTGTCCTTGCCAGGGGAGAGTGGGGTTGGATAGAAGCAGGAGGCAGTGAGGCGCCTACATTTTTAGCTCTCAGATGCGGTCATGCAATTATTCTGCTCCATTTAAAAGCTCATTGTTTCTCCTGCACACATTAGAATGGTGAGAGAATCTCCATCCCTGCCATGACTTTTATCAGGTGCCTTCTTTCCATGCAGCACCTTCTTTCCAGATTTTAGCTTAAACTCAGGTCACATTAAGGTCCGTCATGTAGATCTCTTATCTCCACAGACAGTGTCTAAGGATGAGCAGGTTGTGCACTGCACAAATGCACCACGTCTAAAGTGGTACCACTAACATCCTAGACATTTATGTATTCATGGCAACAAAACTGTTGCAGAGGGTACTAACGTGTCTTGAGGAAAGGGTGTCAGGATGCCTTTGCACGAAGGGGCCATGTCACCTAGCAATGGTCCTGCTGGTGTTTTGTTTCTCCAGGATTGGAAAAAAAATCCCAATGAAAGACAATAGGAAAGGGGGTAGGATTAGTATCTTTTCAATCTCTTGAGTAGACTGAGGAAGGGATCGAAGTGTTGGGGAAAATGAGGGCTGGGGAGCGGCCCTGTTTCCCTGACCCTCTCTTGAGACTAATTTAAAGCTCATTCAATTGTTTCCTCACCATTAAAGATATTGTGATATTGGCTCCAAGCTTGGGGAGTCGAGCTTTATTTTATAATTGGGCCCGGAAGAGAAAGTGAGATGACCTGGCACCACCATTGCCCACGGGGCTCTCTGGGTCAAGGGCTACAGGCTCTTGCCAAAGACATCAGCCACCAGAGTCTGA